TGTGTGTGTGTGTGTGTGTGTGTGTGCGGGAGGCAGAGCGGCAGAGAGATGCGACAGAGTTGCGAAATTGCAGGCGCGGCTCGAAATGGCTGTTATTTCAAATAGCGTACCATATTTTAAACTAATCGGTTAACCGGTTTCAACCGGCTACTGAGGCTCGGTGGTCGGTCAAGAAATTTTTTAGTTTTCGCCATCCCTATCCAAAATGAATTGTACCTTTTTTTTGTATTGATGTCACATCTCACATTTGAACCTGTGCCCCAATTCTTTACATTTATTTGTTTTAAGTGACCACTACTAAGATTTACTTAATATTCAATTAATATTCTTAATCGCATATTCAGTCACGTTATTTGTTGATAATTACTAATGATCTTGCACTGAAACTCAGCAGGCTTAATTACTGACAGGCCAAAAAAACAACAAAGTCGGCAAGGTATTAAATGAAATTCAGTGTCAGAAATTAATAGTAATAATTCATTAACTAAACTGCCTCTGAAAAATTGTTCAACTTAGCAATAAAGCAATGAACAAATAACTAATGAGCCAAGCTGACTGCAAAGAAATGGGAAAGATAAACAAGATTATTGACAGCTTGCCACAGTACAACCTCTAACATCAATTTAAACTTGTGATGTACAGATTATTAATTTCTGACCAAAACAGCCCTGGCATATACAATCACGTAAATCTAAAACCTATATTCTGTGGTGGAAAATGTACTAAATTACTCAATGACTTTTACTTACTCAAGTTAAAGTACAAGTCCATCCTGTAAAATATTATTCAAGTAAAAGGTACCTGGTTTTTAAAAGTACTTAAGTCAAAAAGTCCCATATATTCAAATATATTGACAAAAAGAAATCCTTTTCAATCCTTTTTAAATTCTATTAAGACATTTGAATATAGCATTGCAGATTCAGTGCATGACAATAAAGAAAACAGCCACAAGAGGATAAGCATATATTTTCTTTTTATTCTGGAAAAAGTGGTGAAATGTGCCAGCACAGGTTAGTAAAATGACTTTATTCTGTGGAATAAATCTGTGGCCAGATTTAATAATGAATTATCAAAATTTTCTGTGCTGGTACTTTGAAGTGGTGGATGAGTCACCAAAAATCCTAGTCCTCCACTATGGAAAATGGCTCAATTCAATCATTGCCATTGTTTCAGTAGTAGCTCTAGTGGCTGATAAACTGTACCCATATTCAAAGTTAAATATCGGATGAAGATTTTTCTTAACTGATATATATTGCGAATCTCTACATATTATTTGTGTCATCTTCATAAAGACAGTATGACATGCAGAATAGTAATAATATATTGCTCAAGAATCATGAAGGAAAATTTTGAATCAGAGTGAAAAAATTTATTTTTCGCAGAATTGTGCAGCCGTACTCAGGTGCGCTGCATGCAATATATATTTTTTAATTGGGTGAGTGATGATTTGTACAGAATATATTGGAGTAAAAAGTAATTATTTGGCTCCATAATGTGAAGTAAAAATTAAAGTTTCAGCAATTTAAAATACTTTGTATTTTGTATAAAGTACCATAATGAAGTATTTGAATTTTGTTGCTTTGCTCCTCTATTTCGAAAGTTCACTTAACTGGAAAGTTCCTCCTTTAGGTATTAGCCTTCAATAAATAAATATTGTAATTTTCAGTATTTTTTATCCTATTTTATGTTTCTCTGGCAATTTTTTTAAATGAACCAAGTAACTATGTTTCCTCAACTTATCTTTGCAATAACTTCTATGAGGCTAAATTTTTGATTTTAGCTGTGTATTCTGTGCAACATCACAACCAAAGCTCGTGCATTCTTTACAGTCAGGAACGAATATTATAGGTTTCTCTTAAAAATCGTTGTTCCCATTCCCATCAAAATACCACATTTTGTTTAATAATGCATTATGGCTTTAACATTAATGCTATGTATACAGTTATACATTTGCACAAAATGTTTTTACTGAAGCAGTTTAGATCTTAGTGCTTATATATTAGCCGATGCCTTGCTCACTACACCCCACTATACGGTATATGGCTTGGAAATACTCAGCCCCATACTTCATCTTTAGTATGTGGAAATACTTCTTGGGTTTTTAGAACCGAAGACCTTTGTGTTTTTTTTTTTTTTTTTAAGACTTTGTTTTTTGAAAATCCTTTTGTTTCTTGAAGTTCTGCAAATATGAAATGAAATATAAAAAGGAAAAAAGTTGTGTAGGTGTGAAGATAGATAGGTGTAACAGAGTCTGGTTTAATATGGTGTATGTATGTATAGAGTGTGCCCAAAAGAAGGTGTAGAGCTTTTATTTTTCAGTACTTATTGGGTCATGTTTAGTCTCTTAGGTGTTCCAAATGTCTTCCGTCAACCTTGATACATTCCTGCAGCTTGTCCTTGATGCTGTGACACACCTTAGCGCACACATCCTGGTTATTATGAATGTTCGCAAGTGCTTGAGAGCAACTCCTTCAGTTTCTCCACTGTGTGGGCCTTCCTCTCAAGAACCTTCTCCTGTACTACACCCAAAAAAAAAAGTCCATGGATGTCCGGTTGAGTGAACGTGTTGGTCCATCAATGCTGCCACGTCACCCAGTCCGACGGTGTGGAAAGGGTGTCAAAACTGTCTTTGTAAAATAAAAACCGTATACCTACTTTTGACCTGCCTTGTATATGTATAATGTTTTAGTAATCTTTGACTGTGTGAATTTTTTGGTAATCTTTATTTTAAAGCTGTCGCTTGTGGTTGTGATGATGCTGGTACTTCCGAGAAATCCGAGAAACCATAGTTTGATCATTTCCCAGAAACTTTCCTGTTCTGTTTGGTGTGTGTGTGTTGGGTGCGTTCTTCCTCTGTTGTTATAACTCTGTGTTGGTTACCTCCACAGCAAGGTTTGTTAGAAGATGACTTAAAAAGCCTTAATGTGCTCTTTCTCTCCCCTCAGATCCACAGGACAGTATGGCCGCTACTATTACTGTCAGTCCCAGCGAGTACCTGCAGCCGTCTGCTATCTCTGCACAGGTGAGTCTGCCCCTTATGCAGCTGTGGTGAGGAAAAACTCTCCATCCAAACTGACTTGTGCCTATGAAAGCCGGTAGCTCCTGTTGGCGAGTCTCTTAAGTGTGTGGTACTTTGGTTTATGGTGAGACCTTGGAGTCTTAGTCAACTAAAAAGATGTTTTGAAACCAATGTGTCTTTTGTCCTTGGCAGTTACTTGGCTTATCACAGTTTTAAGATGACATATCAGCATTCTGTTTTTTGTTGTTTTTTTCCCCATATAAAATGACCAGGAATTAAGGCTGGGTGATAAGGCAAAATATCTGTCCTTTTTTTCATATTGCGCAATACTGATGATAATTATAATTCAAGTCATTTTTATTTAAAGGCTCCATTTTTACTTAATTTCCCTTAAACAGGTTCAGAACATAAAAAATGATCAGAAATTGGATGGACAGCAAATTGAAATCTAAATTTAATAAATCATACAGAAATAAACTTTTGTTATAAGTCGTCACGCTAGCAAACTCCAGCATTATGGTTTATTGCTGGGCTTTTTCCTCGGACTGCCTTGCATATATTTTATTCTGCTGAGTCAGTCAGCCTTGCAGTGCATTTGGACATAGTTTGTGTGTTCTTAAAAATATTTAAACTACGCATTCCTATGTTGGCATCAAGCACTTGAATTAGTTTGTGGATTTTGCTTTTAACTGTATTGAGAGAAGTGTTTTTAGAGGCTTTGCTCTGGATTCAAAGTTTACATAAGTATCTTATTTATCCCTGTTAATTTGTTTCTGTAATCTGCATAGTTTATCGTAAAGGACATGCAGGCCATTTTCCTGGTAATATTGTAAACCCTAAGTATTAAGTCTTTTAAATGGCAATTTCTTATAGTTCAAGCCTCCTGAAGTAACATGGACAAACTCCATGGACAATGTTTCATTCAAATGTCTCCCTGCCTGTATGCATTTAGCTGACTGAGGCTGTTCTTTCCAGGATTCTCAACCGTCTCCTTTGGCTCTCCTGGCAGCTACCTGCAGTAAGATAGGGCCCCCCGCTGCCCAGGCCCCCGCCAGCACCCCTCCTTCTCAGCCAACTACACGGCGTCTCCTGCCTATCAAACCTGCCCCCATTGCTCCAGCACCTCCAAAAAACGTTGGATTTCTGTCCGCTAAAAGCAATGTGATACAGCTACCAGCGGGGATCGGTTCTTCCAGTCCCAGTGGCCCAATCCTGCTAACCATTCAGAACCCAGCTCGACCTGCTGGTGCCAACATTCAGTATCAAGTGGTTCCACAGATTCAGGGGAGCTGTGCGCAAACCATACAGATGTTACCCCAAGGTGGACAGATCCAGATCATCCCAGGAACCAACCAGGCCATCATCACATCTTCCATGACTGGTCCAGCTCAGACAGCACCTGCCACACCACAGAAGGCACTGGCCATCAAACCGTCTCCTCAAAAGCATAGGCAGAACAGTGCCAACGTGGTGCGACTTCCTGGAGGGCTCACCCTCCCACTCAACGTTTCCTCCAGTGATGGGGGAGCCCAGATCCTGGCCGAAGGTACATCTGCCCCAGCGCCACCTCCTGCCAAAGCAAGCCGAAGAGGCCGCAAGAAGCTGGTTGCCAGCAGCCAGCCGCTTCCACAGCCATCTTCCCCACCCCCTGCTGTAGCGGTTTCTGAGCAGGTGGAGACGCTGCTAATAGAGACCACTGCTGACAACATAATCCAGGTAGGCTGCTTTACACCGTGGAGCTCTTGGGAGAATCTGTAATGCTTCCTACAGGCTACACTCTTGATAGGTGATAAATACCATCTTTTTTAAAATTAAGCTTTAAGTTGCTTTCATTTTAAATGGCAGTGTCACTGTCAGGGGATGTTTAGAGTGGATCTGGTATTGAACTGATTGGAAAATAATGAAATAAGTCTGTCATAATTTACATAATTGCAGCAACCTGTGAACTGCCTAACTCTTTTCATATATTAACATGTAGATAAGGGTTTTCTATCCAATTTCCATTGTGTTTATTCAGAACAGACATAATGACATGCTGTAGGCAATTATGAGACACCTCATCTTATGGTTTGGTTTTGAGCTATGGGAGGAAACACACGCTTCCCATATGACACACGTGTGTCCTGGGGGCAGGAGCCCAGGAGCCTACAGTGTTATCCAGCAAGCTGACACACCACCTGTGATAGGATTTTATTTGTACATCAACTTTATTATGAAAGTTATGCAAGTGCTTGATGTTAGCTAATGTTGACATATGACCTGTGTTGTATGATAACAAAGACCCCCCCCCCCCCCCTTACAGCTATTTGTGCTATTTCTGTTGTGTTGTGTAGGGCTGCTGCAGTATAATTATGGTGATATAGTGCACATGCAATAATTCCAGGGCTTTATGTAATGGGTGTAAACATTTGTTCGGATGCCAGCTTTTCAGTAGTATACAGACGTTTGCTAATGCCCATGACTTAGTGAGCGGATTAGTAGTACACCTAAAATATTAATGAGGCTTATTGTGACACCAAAAAGTAATCTGTATAAATTCGGAATATTTATGTTGTAAATGGTGAATCTCGTAACCATGTCATTTGCTGTGGTCCTGTGGAATGCTTGTTTTGTTAGTGTATAATCGTGAGTCGTGTAAATTGTTGGCTTCCCTGTCTGTTCAGCTGCTAGTATTACAAAAATAGAGCCTTTTAATAAAGAGAGCAACTTCCATTTTAAGAGCTGTCATCTGCTTTATTAAAATTACTCATGCACTTGTCAATACATTTTTTGTGCTGTATAGTGGTCTGTTGCATCAAAAACATCCTGTGCCCTCTAGGGTTGCAGCGTGACACAGAACGAACGATGCAGTGCCGTTTTAAGTATGCATCATATATTTTGTGCTGATGCTTTTTTTGTCTGGACATTGTTCAAAGTGTGTGGCCATCTTTGGGCTGAATTTAGCTCATATGAGGCAGATTTTTTACATTAGACCTTGAAGGATTGTGTGTAATATTTTTTGCAAACCTCACATTAACTTTGGCATAAAATTTCACGTTGTCACATTTGATATGATTCTCAATATGATATGATTTGATATGGAGCCAGCTGGTTTGTTCATTGGTTTGCCCTATTTTATAACTTGTTCATCTGTTTCTTGTTTAGATAATGTTCAGCAGACATCAGGTGATGTTAACATTAGCTTTTTTTTTTTTAAATGTACTATTCCTGGCTTCAGCCACGCCCAATCAGGCTGCATGGTAACTTGCCTAATTTTACTTCCTCTTTTCCACTACAATCCATTGAAGTAATAAGATGTGCTTTGGTCACAGGACAAAGCAGTTTGTTTATAACTTAACTATGATTACAGTGACCCTCTTTGGTAACTTTCAGTTTTTGCATAAACAATTTATTTACTTACCTTCAAAACATTATTGAATATTCATATTAGGGATGGCGAAAACTAAAAAATTTCTTGACCGACCACCGAGCCTCAGTAGCCGGTTGAAACCGGTTAACCG